GGCAATCAAAAATAATGTAACGCTTAAATTTTTTACTAATTATAATTAGTAAAAAATTTAAGTATTACATTATTTTTAATTATCACTGTAATTATAATATAAGAGAAAATAATAGATTTTAATAAAATATTAATAAAAAGATAAATTTTAAATATTTTTTATTTTATTTTATTTATTTTTAATTTTAATTTTATTAAAGCTTAATTTTTTTTAAAAAATAAAATATTATTATAATAATATAAATTTTTTTAAATTTTTAATTTTATAAATTATATTAATTTTATAAATTATATTAATTTATAAATTATATTAATTTTATAAATTAATTTATTTAATTTTTAATTTTAATATTATAAATTTTATTTATTATTAATTTTATTTTTAATTTTCTTTATTTATATTATATTTCAAATTTAATTACTTATTAACTTTCTATTAATTATTTATAAGAATTTAATTTAATTTCTTATAAGAATCTTTAATAATAATATAATTATTTTATTATTAAATTAAAAAATTAAAGAAATAATAATAATAAAAAAGTATTTAAGTTATATTTTAATATAAAAAATTAATACAAAAAATAACATGAAATTTTTTTAAGTTATTTTAAGAATATTAAAATTTATTTTAAAATAAATATAATTATATTACTAAATATAATTTATTTTAATTATTAAATTGATAATTAAAAAAATTAATTATTATTAATTAATTTAAGAATTAATAATTATTAAAAATATAATAAATTAATTATTAATTATAAATCTGCTTGTGTAATTTAAAATTTTAATATTATAAATTGATAGTAATAATATTAAAATATCTTTTTTTTAAAAAAAAATTTTATTTTAATTTTTTTAGTAAAGTAATGCTTCATTTATTATTAAATTAAAATATAATAAAATAGTTAAAATAGTATAAAAAGTTAATTTAAATTAAATTATTTTTATTTAATATAAAAAAATTATAAAGATTGTTAAAATTTGAATGGTTTTTATTAGAAGTAATTATTGATTTTTATATTGAGATACAAATCTTTTTATATTGATCCATAATATATATAATATTTATTTTATTATATATATTTAATTTATACTTTATATATTAATTATAATAAAAAATATAAGAATAAAAAATATAAGAATATATAAAATATAATTTAAATTATTAAATAAATTAATAAATTTTTATTCTAGAATTATAAAAAAAATAAATTTAAATAGAAAAAGAATCTAAAGTTATATTAAAATTATAATTAAATTTATTTAATAAATACTATTTATCTTTTAATAATTCTAAATTATCAAAAAGATTCTAAGCAAATAAAAACTAAGTCAAAATATAAATTAATATTTGAAAATAATAATTTGAATTAATTTTAATAAACTTAAATAGATAAATAACTCCAGAATTTATAAACAAGATAAAAAATAAATATTTTTCTAAAGTAAAGTTATTTTTTATTTTCTAATATAATTTAATTTTTCTAATATAAATTTAGATTGCGCTTAATAGAGAATAATCTATATGATAATTTTTATATATAATAATTAAATTAACCAATAGAAGTTATTATTTTTAATTAATAAAAAATTCAGAAGTTACTATTTTAATTAGCAAAAAATTTTAAACTGTTATAATCTCTTAAAAATAGTAAAATAAAAAATCCTCTCACAGAATGATTGCTTTATTATAAACTAAAAATCTGTAAGAAGATTTTTATTTTCTTTTAAAATCATAACAGATTGCTGTTCTCTCACTATAAATATTTTTTTATATAATAAACACCAAATTTTCAAGCATATAAACTTTAAATTGTTATAATTTTTAAACTTATAATTAACAAAAAAATCTGTTTTACATAATTTTAGCTTAGACAAAAAGCAACAAATCTGTAAGAGGGGTTTTTGTTAAAATTATTTGTTTTTGAGTTATATCACTTTTTATATCACATATATAAATATTGGATGTCTTTTGCTGTGCCAATTCCGTACGAAAAATTATCTAAATCTATTATCATATTTATTTTCAAGGGGATTTCGAGAGTATATGGTACATATAACCTTTATATTTAGGAAAACACGTAACTATATTTTATAATGAATTACTGATGCATTTAATACGAATTATTGTTGCTTACTCATTATTATTTTAGACTGGAAAATCTATTAAATTTTGAGTTTTCATTATTCAAAAATTTAATGAAATACATTATAATTTGTCGTCCGTATTCCGTTTCTAATTCATGTACGCATAAAAAAGCACACATGTACAAGAAAGATTGATCGTATTGAAAACTTCTATCGTGAAGAACGGACACAATACTAAGTAATTACTTCTTTGAATGTACGCATTATCATTATCAACTTTTTAAAGTTGAATTGTCTTGAGAAAATAAACATTAACAATTTGATAAAAGGGTCCAAGTTTTAAATTGATCCTTTTGAAATATTTACTTCTGTTGAGCAGTTGCTCGTACATTTCTCAATTCTAAACACTATTCAATATAATAATGGTCATTATTAAACTTTTTGTATTATATATACACGCGCAATTGAATCACAATGAACATTTGTTTATAAAAAGGCTGAAAATTCAAATTTCTTTATTTAGAGAAACAGGAACAAGAAAAACTTAATTCTAAATAATCATGCAACATTCCGGTCGGGTCTGTATACAAATTTAACTCTACCGTATGCGCAGGGAGAATTAAGCCTAATGCGGGCCGTGATTCGAAATAACGCGCATGGACATTTATTCGCGAATATACTGTAACGCGAAGATGACAATACATATTATTTGACTAATACATGTATTTATTGGAGAGCGGGTGTGAGGAATACACATAACTACAGTTTCGAGCGGTCTTTTACACAACCGCAAGAGCACTTTACTTTGCGAAACTTACTACATGTATTAGGTCATTTGGACATTTCTGTTACCAATACCTGTATAAACTACATGTATATTTACATGTACACGCACAATGTAAATTTATATCACGAGATGCGTATTTACAGCGCATGTATATATCATAGGGGAATGATATTCCAACTAATGATTAACTCTCATTGCCAGAAATGTCGGATAGGCAAGATAATGTCGAGGTAAAATAAAACGGTTTTTTGTATGTAAAAATCTTAAAAATCCAAAAAATTAAATTATACATACCATTTACAAGGTGACAAAAAATCCCAAAGCACCTATAGTCCGTTATTTTTCTCTCTTGATACTTAATTTTCTCGTGGAATGGATTCCCGGGTTATCCAAATTTTTATTTTACGACTCGGGTTTTACCGCTTTGCGAAAATTCAAATATGATGATTCATTGACTGCCATCCCGCTTCCACTGCCGAAAGAAGAATTTGGGCTCAATAAAGTTGAGGTAGGTTGACGCTCTCCTTTAAAAACCACGTACCAATATGACAAAGCAATTTTGCTCGCGGTCTTTATAGCACTCAGTTGTTGGACTGGAAATTTTTGAGGAAAAAGAAAATAAAGCTGAACCTATTGGAAGTACTGAATACTTGACAGCATGGCATTTTCGTGAAGCGTATCTTTCTGGTCGTATTACACCTTCACAAGTATGTTTGAATGTTTCTTAATTACGAAATGAATGGCTTGAAAATAAACATGATGAAATTTTTATAGGTAGCGAAAAATTTAATCGCGAAAATTGAAGCTGCACACACTTTCACATCTCCTACTGAACCGTCTATTGAAGGTTTCTATCAATATGACCATGATGAAATTCTAAGACAAGCGGAAGAGTCCACCGCTCGATACGCCCAAAATGAATCATTAGGACCGCTTGATGGCGTTCCTGTTGGCATCAAAGATGAAATTGATGTTAAGGTTTGGTTCGTTTATTAGTGAAACATGCAAAACAATTTCTTACATATCATTTCTCATAAATTTGAATAGGGATTCGAAACACGCGTTGGAACTGCTTTCATTAATCGTGGCAATAAAGCGCAACAAGATGCAACTCTTGTTCGTCGATTGAGAGAAAAAGGCGCAATAATTGTCGGAAAAACTAGTATGCATGAACTAGGAATGGAGTAAGTTAGCTTTTAATTTTGATTACAAATTAAAAAAATTTTTTATATATAAATAATGAAATGGTCTTGTTTTAATATTTTAATTTAAAATAGCATTACAGGTAATTTTGTTTGACGCTAATCAGACTCGATTGGCAGAAATTCACAATATTATTATTTCTAAATATGGGATGAAAAGGAAACAACCCAGTGGCAAAGACGCCAAGAAATCCCTACGATCCAAATCATTATTGTGGCGGGTCTAGTGGTGGTAGCGCAGCAGTTGTAGCAGCGGGACTTTGTCCTATTTCTATTGGTTGTGATGGCGGTGGATCGATAAGAGTACCAGCATCATTCTGCGGGCTTTATGGTCTAAAGCCAACAACTGGAAGAGTTCCTTCGAAAGGAACATGTGAGCATAATTTATTTATTGTTCAACCGTTTTACGATAAATTAATCTTTTTTCCGTAGTTCCATTGACATTCACGTGTGGCGTATCGGGACCATTCGCTTCAAGTGCAGCTGACTTGGCTTTAACTTATTACGCGATTGCAGGAAAAGATCCAGAGGTTCTCATTTCTTTAATATTAAAAACGTTAACTTGTATATTTTTCCATGTTAATATTTGTATGCTCTAAATTAAATTTTTTATTTAGGATCCAAATACTTACCACCAACCTTCACCTACTCTTTACGGTTTCTACCTGACAAATACGCTTACCGACCTAAAAATCGGTATCTATTCTGCATGGAATCAACAAGTGCAGAATTCTGCCATAACAACTGCATTGCACGAATTTATTGACGCTTTCAAACTTCGAGGAGCTCAAATCGTCGAAATCGAGATACCGGAATTAGAAGAAGCGCGAAATGCGCATCTAATTGCAATCTTGTCGGAAATTCACCATATTGTAAATCGATATAAAGAACATCGAAATAAACTCACGTACCCAAATCGTATTCTTCATGTCATTTTGGAACATTTAGCTGTTTCTGTAAGTTAATAAATAAGATGTAAATGTATTATGCGAATTTAACTTGCTAATTGATATCTTAACTTTTCTTTCTCGAAGGATTACAGTAGGGATTTGATCTTTTCTTTCTACCAAATAGATACATACGCGGATATACTAAAAATTGTTAACATTTATTTTAGTTCAATCTCAACAAGTTAGAACACGAATTATGCGCCACCTATCAAATTTATTTGAAAATAGCGTAGATTTAATCCTAACACCAACCTCCGGAATCACTGCGCCTCAAATTCATCCACGTGCCTTAAGTTACGGCGAAGTAAACTCAAATGTCACCGGCAATGCTATACGTTTCGTACAACTGGCGAATTTTACCGGAATTCCTGGAATAAATGTGCCCGCCGGTTACGACGAAAAAGGGCTGCCAATTGGATTGCAGTTTATGGCGAGATGGTATAATGAGGCTTTGCTGTTGAGAGTTGCTAACGTTTCGCAAGAGATATTAGGTGATCGGAGAAAACAACCGGGAAAAGAGCTGTGGTTTGGTGACTTGTTGTAGCGGTGTGCGTTTTATATCTAGTAGTTATTTTTGACTGATTATTAATAAATCACAACAATGAACATGTATAGCATTGTTTTTATCTTCTATATGGCACCGGTTATCACCGGGGAGTTACTTGTATATGCATTTGACTTTAAAAGATGGCAATGATTTTACATATCGTATACATCGACATGTACAAATTTATTTCGTAATGTGTGTACAAACAAATACTGAAGGAAGCATTAATCTCATTTACGTACTGATAGTTTGTTTTTTAAGAGACGCATTTAGTTGAAAACAGGTTAATGTGAAAAGCTATAAAGAAAAACGCAAGCAAGAAAATTGACAGCATGTGTGTCCGAGAAATTTTCATTTGACGCTCACTAAAAAGATTATCTTATCATTACGCAATATTTAACGTTTAACGATTGATACTGGACATGTAATAATCTCACGTGAAAAAATTCGTTTCAGATTTATTTTCCACGCACAAATTATAACCAATGATTCGTAACGTTTTCTTTTTTGAATGAAAAACACTAATCGTTTTTTTTGCACTTAATTAACTGGAAAATTCACCAATACGTGTACATAGTGTGCATCGTGTGACTCGGTAAACTTTAACAATGATCAAAGAAGAAACGTTCGTAACAGTAATTCTTTCGTATTTTATATTGTAAATATATTAAAAATGCTACAATAAAAATGTCAAGCATGGAAAATTTTCATAGAAACACACAAGTTGATGTATGCGTTTACTTAAAAATCATGTAGAAAATGTGATAATAGGATAAGTTTTGGTTGAACGAGTAACTGTGGGAGATATAACACACATAAACCAACATGATAACTACAGTTAGATGTTTAGTTCATATGAAAGAGACAGCAAGAGCATATAACGCCTATTGTTCTTTTTGTGTCCTGCTGTTACTACTATTGTTTATTGGCTATTTCGTAAGGGTAGTTCAGCCTATGATTACTACAGCTGCTATCTACATGTTTCAAAAAGAACAGCGAAAAAATCTCGGGTAGTAGATCGCACAAGTAAAATTTAATATGACTCTGGATAATTATTCTTATTAGCGTAAGCACATCAAATAACCCCACCCCCATTCACTTGCACATCTATCTCGGAATTAGATTAGTTCGTATTTCTGCGATTATGGATCAGCTTACGGTTCATTTGATTGTAACAATTATCGTTAGCGTTAGTGGAATTTTTCTTTTAAAATTATCTGATTGTACTGCATATCGATATGCTTATTTGTGGGGAAATAAAACTTGGTAATTTCAAAAGCGTGATATTTTGAATGCCCCGGATAATGATGGTGATATTTTTATTATGCAGAAATTTAAGCTACTTGATAATTAAAATTTTTTGTTTGTATGAGATGTAATGTTTTAGTTGGTACAAAAATTTTTGGAAAAAATTACAAAATATAATGCTAAATACATGTAATAATATATAGAAGTGTTTTTTGGATGATTCTAAATTATATATAATAAAATAATACAATGCATTAAATATTTAAATGATTTTTGCCCAAGATACTAAAAACCCTCAACGTTTTCACCTCCTCTCCCACCAATTTAATCAATTCATCCGACAATCCCCAATATGCCTTCATCTTCCATCGCCACATTGCTTCTTTGGCACGTAGCTCATGTTCATACCGTGGACGTGGATAATGTGCCGTCCAAGCTGCCCAAGATTCTGACACTAAATGAAGTTCTTGGAGTTGCGATCGTTGAAATAATGGGATAATTATGTCCTGAAGAACGGTTTGCGAGATGTGGTCCATATCGAGGACTAGCGAAATTAGTGTCTTATGACATGTGAGCAGCAATGAGCGAAATCCGAATGTCGTGAAATCTTGTGGTGATACTTTTCCGAGAGTTAGATGTTCTAATTTGCTTTCTGGTAGTTCCTCAAATAGAAAGTCTTGATCATGCAGGTATATTCCTTCGAGTGACATTCTTTTTAGGTTCCGACAATCGGAGAGTATTGCGAGAATCGAACGGCCTGTTATTGAGACCGGATTTAAACCACGGTGTTCAGCCGAGAATTCTATTAGATCATCTTTTAGATTTGGAATTACGTGTTCAATAATTCCTTCATCTGTGAAATTTTCACCGTTTAGTGAGAGACGGTTTAATCCACCGGTCATCGCCGGCATCATAATCTCTAACAGCTCATCATTAAATGTCCAGTGATTCGAATCAAGTTTCAACTCTTTCAATCCTTTAACACAAAGCAACTTGCCAATTTGCGCCGTCGTCGCTTCCCTACCCACATAACAAACATGGCAAAACGAAAGTTTATCCTCCACATGCAGTTTTTTCAAATTTGGTAAATTTTCTCGAAGAACCTTTAATGATCGCAACAACCCACCAGGTTTCATGTTTGAGATGGATACAGGATAAATAGTCACGCTCCGTATCATGGCACGATAGTTGAACATTAATTGGTCGGGTGATGACCTGAGAACGTAGAGAAGTGTATGTTGTTGTGTTGGTTCGATAATGTAAATGTGGCTCCATATATGCGTGACCGCTGCTCTTGCCCACGTTCGATTGACGTAAAGCACTTGTGCTTCGAAAACTTGAGCGTCTTCGTGTTTTATTACGAATGATAGTATGTTTTCAAGCAAGTCAAAAGATATTTTAGAAAGTGGAAATATTATTTTTGATTTTGATATCGGCCTAACCCCGGGCATTTTTGCGTCCTATTCTTTTTGTTAGTTTCGTTTCTTTTTTTAGTCAACTTTTGGTCTCTTGTTTATACGTACAAGAAAAATTAAAAGAAACAATAAATATCCCTGGAAAAATAACCTTCGTTTACAGGATTTTATTTTTTTGGTTAACTTTACAAAGAAAAAAATTTGGGAAAAAAGTTTGGATTACGTTGACTTATTATCTACCACAAATATATATTATCGTTATATATTCACAGACTCCGACAAAAAATTAAAACAATATAATAATGAGTTAAGTACGCGTATAATAATGTTTTTGTATAGAATACTAAATATAGTATCAAATACTTATATAAATTATAGTAGATGTATGTATAAATTTTCACTGTACTGTATTTATATATATATTTATTTATTTATTTAATGTGGTATATATACATGTGCATTTCAATTTCCGTAGTATCACCATTGACCCGAAAAATGTGATTAAATTGAAACATTTACACCCATCATAAATGGGGATAATTGTATGACAGAAAAGCACAGTCACTTCTGTCATTCCCCTCTAACACAGCAGAATCATAGAGTAAAGTAAAATCTAATAGAAATGAGAATTTCCCATGTTCCATCCAATCATTCTTCCAAAGCTCATTTATCCATCAACCATTCACCCCTCGTGTCCTTCTTTATGTGTAGGTTTTTGGCGTAAATATGAAAAGGGAATGCGGTGAAACAACACGATGCCAAGGATAGAATAGCGGATTAGTTTGGACTATTAGGCGTTAGTGGTGATTCTTTTTCTAGCAAAATTTTTCTAGAACTATTTCTATACCATTCCTTTCTCGCTCCAATTGTTGGGGGACAGCTGCGGGGTGTGATCCAACATCGCAAGATGAGAAGATGGCCGTGGCGTGGTTTGTGTGTCTAAATATCATGTAATAATGATGGTGATTGTGATAATTGAATGGTGTTATACCAAAGCAATGCCTGTGCGTGCGAAATTAGTGTTAGGTGTATGTTCGCAGGGAAAGATTTTCATAATGACAAGTGAGATGTCACTTTGAAACTTCTAATGTATGATTCGTCGGTTGATTCAAGATAAGAGTGAATATTTAAACATTTGAAATCACCAAACTAAACGTACGCACATGTAAGAAAGTTTATTTAGTGTTCCAATCTATTTGGAGTTAAAACTTTATCTTCTAATAATTGTTAAAGCTACACAGTGGCTATGCTCGACAGCAGAGTTTTCTATTTAGAGAGCAGAATTCCCATTAGTTAGGATTAGAATGGATCGGAAAAAAATGCTAAATAAAAATTCACCGTATAGTCCATGAATAAATTAAATTTAATTCCCATAAATTTTTATTTGATTATCTCGCAGAATTTTACTGTATACCATGTATTAAATTTTACGTAATTAATTAATTTGGATGATGGAATCATATCATCGTGTATTTTTTATCCCGTGTTCTATCGTCAAAAAGTAAAGAAATTATATCGTAGGTTTATAGGAATCATCGTCATCACCTGAGAACGAGCACAGGCCGTCATTTTGATTATTAATATTTATTAAAATGGCAATAAATAAATAAATAAATTATCAAAGTTTGTCATTTTACATGTAAGAATTTCTATTAAAAGATGCACATAATCTTTGGAAAACAACGACAGAAATAACAAACAGAACAAAGTATATATTAGTAACATTGTGTTTGTTGCACAGGTTGAAAGGATTCAAAAATATGTGTCAATTGATGATTGGTTTGATTACAAAAAAATTTTTGAATCAATGAGATGACAATAATGGCGTAGGCGTATGTAAAAACAAGCACACCCCCACAAACACACAAAAAAGCTTTTGACAGACTTTATTTGGCAGGCTCCGCATTTATTATTAGCCTTTAATGAATTAAGTATTTCCAATAAAGATGATGAAGAAAGAACAAATTTTTATTGTGAAGTGGCTTTATAATCGGCGGTGCTTTCTCTAGGTAATGACAAAACTTGACATGGATTCGAAACTCAACAGTTGAATTAAAGATTGACATTTTTGTTTGTACTTAATATCGATATCTTCTATCGCCACTTTTTTTTTTGTGATATTACAAGTCCTCGATATATTTTTCGATATCCGCTGTTTTGCATACATCAACCCATCTTGTGACCGTTCCTATGACCATAAACTGGCAGCTAAATGATAGCGGTGATTAAAAAATCGAAAAGAAAATGTTTTATTTGGAGTAAGGAGTAAATTGTGTATGCGTGCGTGAAATTGTGATAAACTTTGTCGGTTTTTTAAGTTTTTATCAACTTCATCCACACGTTTACTTACTATACCAGGATTTTGCCATATGTCAACTGGAATACAGGATTTTTCTTTCTTAAAAAAAAGCACCATTCTCAAGTGATATAAAAAATAGATCACGAAAAAAAAATGCGGATTCTATAAATGCACAATTTTTCTGTCACACTTTAGTGGATATGCGGAAGTGGAAAAATGCCCCTTTTTTGGTAGTACAGAGTCAAATGATTGATAATTTTTAAAGCATGACGTCTCGTGATGAAAATTTTTTTTAACAAAGTTACATGTGCATGGTTACGCTAATCAAAAACATAGGTAACATGCCAACCATTAAATTGCGGATTTTTTTTAGGATATGTGGAATGATAATCACTAGAATTTCGGTAAATTTACGTGTGCCACTTGTACATAAGCTTTACTTTTTCTCAACAAATTCATGACTATTCGAGTAAATTTTAAATCGACAACTCAAGATTTTTTATCAGATAATAAGCTTCATTTTTATTTTAAAAGACTTAAAAACTTCACGATATTTACTTTTGTAATTCTATACTTGCAAAAAAGCAACTTCAAAATCATGGATTTTGTTATTTTGCTTACATGTATTGTAAGGGGTATTCTAAACCAGCAAATCACGGAAAATTTTGCCATGTACATGTATTTATTCTCCTTTTAAAGATTTAAAAGACTGAACTGGTTAAAAAATACATGACATCTCTATGAACCTCAATTCGAAATTTATCTCCAACAGAATTTTAATTGGTAATACAGACTCGGTCACATGATTGCATAAAGTTAATGAGTCTTTAGAAATTACTTTACAAACAAAAGAAAATTTTAGTTCTTATATATTCAAACTAACGTAAAAGGAAATGCTAATTTTTAAGATGTTTTACTTAGACATTTAGAGATAAATTTTTTTGTATACAGTTGATATTGTCTAATTGCATACCATTTTAAGTAAAGATTCATCTGCAAACTCTACTGTCTAATCTAATTATATATTATCGTTATTAATTATTTTATGCAATTGTACATTATCAACTGCACTGGATTTCTGGAATTCCACTGGACATCCAGATTTTTCCAAAGTTCCAGTGGTTCTAATGGAAAATGTCACCGGAATGCCGGAACCAATATCGATATATAACTGACCAATGAATATATGTGCACAGTAAATAATATTAACCAATGAACATACATATCCAGTGAGTAACGCGCGTTTTAAGATAATCTCTTCCCCCGATCTCGTTATTTTAATAAGTTTCATTGTTTCGATACGATATAATAACATAATCTTTTCCCTGATTGCATTATTATATCAAGTACTTGTTGTAATTATTAACGAATTAAAGTATTAATGAATTAAAATGTAAAAAAATATATAAAAGCTCATTATTAACAAATTAAAAGATTAATTAATATCATTACTTATATAATTCGGTTTTTGAAATAACATGCCAAATACCTCAATTCCCATTTTGTCTTGCTGTCTATTGCCGGATGTTTATAATCACTTAGCAAATCACTCTCCATATTATTGTCATAACTGTTATCACGCTCTTCCTCTTCTATCCTGGCAATTGCCTCATCGATTAATATTTGTTCCCAGTCACGTAATTGATTTTCCCACTCATTAGATGTTGTTATGCTTGATGGTTCATCATCTTGCAATTCATCTTGTTATTCATTCAAAACTGCACTGGATTCGTTTGGTTCATCCGTAACTTCAATGGTGGATGGTGCGCTGGTTTGATTAAACAAGGTATTATAGATCTGAATTTGCTTTTTTCGTTCGGAAGAAATCATATTGAACTTCATAATCGTTCTACAGATGCCGCATTAACACAAATTTCAAATTAACATATTATTAAAGGACTTAATTCTTTAGTTGAAAAAGAAGCAAGTTCCCAAAGTTCCAATACATTGTTCATGTGTTATAAGATCAAAAGGATAATTTCGCTTCCTATATTCTTCTAGCTCAAGCAAAATACAAATTGATCAATAGCCAACCATGCCTTGTAATAATAGGTAATAAACTGAGCAAGATATGTAAGTTCAAATTTTCAGTATTAGTTTTGAACCACATGTCACGAATATTTGGATTTAGGAGGAACGCCAATAATAATAATGATTGTTCCCATTGTTCCCAGCTTTGTTCCAATCGCTGAATGATACACTTTGCCAAATTCTGATCCGAATATTCCTCCCACATTTTCAAAATTCTCACCGAAAGCTTGGATTACTTCATGGAGACGAGCAGTATCCGATTGCAATTTGTTGAGAACTCCACAATAAGGAAGAAGTAAAGAATATAATTGCGTTATTGATTGCCAGAAATTGTTGTTAAGCAAAATCGAGGTTATATTTCGCGGAAGATAAAGGTCATCTAGACCAGTTAAAAGTTAATTCAAAGGTAATACATGTGTAGTAGCTAAATTCTAAAAAATTAATTAGTTAACTAACTATCCAGTAAATTAATAATAAATATTTACTCTTAAAACCTGACGAGATTTTATTAGGCTTTTAAACAATAACAGTAAGAATTCCAACGAGTATCTCCTGAACAAATCAAGGTAATATAATTAGAATATATTTGTTTTTGAATTTCTCGCAATTTTCCAATAAAATATGAATGAACTGCATTATTAAAATATTCAAATATTGTGATTGCTTGGTTTGATGCGATTTAAATATCTCTCCCATGGCAAGATTACATTAATGAGCGAAACAGGGAAGAAAAACAATATTTGGATATTGTAATCGTAGCCGACATCTGGTAAGTTTATTTAAAATAATAATTATATTTGAAAATTAAATAATATTATAATATTTACCTAGCAGCGGAATATGCTGGTGCACTATCAAAAACAATTGCTGATAGTTAGTCCCTACACTCTCGTTCCGAACTTGTATCAATTAGTTCCCAAATTAGAATTTTCTCCAGTTGATAGATAAAAAACAAAAAACATATTGTTTTAAAACATTTTTCCATCCATCAAATGCTAATATTTATCTTCTTTAGTTTTGTTCACGTGACAAAATTAAATTTGTTTGTTCAGTATTTAGAATGCGATTAGATAAAATATGTCGATTAGGAAGAGCGAGGTTGGAGATTAAAAACTTAAAAACTGTCGAGTTAATGGATTTGTTGCTTATTGGAAGCCCAACCATTTGATATTGTCATTCGGAGTAATAGTTGTTCAAATTTTGGTTTCTCTTTTAAAGTAATATTTCTAATGATAAAGTTACCTATAGCTTTTTTTTTGAATTTTGCGAAGACAACATAATCGAAGAAGTATTGGAAATTATATCAATTGTGCTGTAAATATCTTCATCTATTTAAAAAAGTATTTATTTATATATTAATATAAATTTTAAATATTTATTAATTACCCACCAGAATATCCGTGTTTCAGCGTTTTTTGAACTTTGAGAAGCATATTCAGCTTTATTATCTGTCTTGTTACAATATGCATCCACCGCTTCTTGAGATCCCAGCTTTGTACGAAAATATTCACATTTTTTTAGATATTTTCGAACAATATTTTTTTATTGGTAATTGTGATTTTTAAAGCTGCTCCTCGACTAAGAATTTCCTCACAAGTTTTGCATATGCCATATTTATTTTGTA